AGATTCCGTAGCGCTTTACAATATTTTGAGTGAGGGGGGGGATGTAACAATAAATAGGACTATTACAAGAAATCTTACAGGAACAATAGGTTAAAGAGGACCCTGCTCAAACGAGCTTACAGACTATAGGAGGTGGGGTATTAGAAACATTAGGACAGGAAATATCAAGTAGGAGTGAAGCAGAGCTGGAGGAGAGAGCAAAGCACTGTCCCATAGGAGAGAGCAGGAGACAGTATGTGAGTTAGCGGTTACTGTGGAAGGCCATAAGCTTTCCTGAAGAGATGGGTTTTAAGGCCCTTCTTAAATGATTGGAGAGTCTGATGGCAGTAGGCAAGCTATTCCATAGGAGAGGAGCCGCCCGCGAGAGGTCCTGCAAGCGCCAGTTGGCCGTACGGGTGCGAGCAGCGGTCACGAGGTGCTCACGGGCAGAGCGGAGGGTACGAGGAGGGGCATATCTATGGATTAGTGAAGAGATATAAGAGGGGCTAGAATTGTTCAGTGCTTTAAATGTATGGGTTAGCACTTTGAATTGACTCCTATAGCATACAGGGAGCCAATGTAAGGACTGGTAGAGGGGTGAGGTGTGAGAGGACCGACTAGAGAGGAAAATCAGTCTAGCTGCAGCATTCATTACAGACTGTAGCGGGGCAATACGGCTTTTGGGGAGACCAATCAGGAGAAGGTTACAGTAATCCATGCGGGAAATTACTAGAGCATGGACAAGCTCCTTGGTAGCATCTTGCGTAAGAAAGGGCCGGATGCGGGCTATGTTTTTGAGTTGGAACCTACAGGACTTGGCAACAAACTGGATGTGAGACTCAAAGGTGAGACCAGAGTCAAGTATGACACCAAGACAGCGTGCTTGCAGGGATGGACTTATGTGGATATCACTGACTTGAAGGGAGAGCGAGAGAGGAAGATCAGTATTAGGAGGAGGAAAAACAAGGAGTTCAGTTTTAGAGAGGTTAAGCTGTCATAAGCTGATAGAAGTTCTACAAAATGCACATTTTTTCTACTTTGATGAGCTTCTGCAATCTAGACTCTAGATTGTGAATGTTTCAAGGAGCACAATATGACTGTAATGAATCCTATACTTACCTTGGTGGTCTGCTGATCAGCTGTTTGCCAGATGGGGTGGACTGCCTTCTCTGATCATCCTTTCCGATCTGTTAGTCTCCTGGACGCCGGACACTGTGCGCATGCCCCTTTTTATGATGCACCGACACCAGGTGAAGGACAATACTGAGGGTGGTATTTACAGACACCATCTCATGTTTTGGGGCGTAACTACATAAATCACGCCCCCAAATATTATAAAATCACATTTAGCCAGTGTTTCTATGCCCTGTTGTGGTTCCTAGTTTACTAGTTTCTCAAGAGTGCCTTTCTTACTGGTTTTGTGCTATTTTGTTATTGACTTGGCTTTTCCCTGACTACTCTGCTTTCTGGTTCCCTTGACTCAGCTCTGGTATTTGTTTTGGTTATTCTCTGGTTCCATTTGACTTAGGCTTGTTTGACTATTCCATCACTTATTAGCCTGGCCATTCTAGGTATTTTTATTTTACCTATAGGAGGGTTATTATTCTGCGTGTTGGGCTACCTATTCGTGACAACGACGACAATTGAACAAATATGAGCTGCATGGTCGAGTTACCAGAAAAAAAGCCATTACTGCGTCAGTGCCACAGGGCCTCATAGACAACTATTACAAAAGACTGCACGCTGTCGTTGATGCAAAAGTGTGCAATACACAGTAATAGCAAACTATTTAACTTGAATCACAAACAGGAGGCTACTGCAGGGTCTGAAGGCTTTCACCAAGCAGGATACCAAAAATTCTTGATTAAACAGAGTGTGCAATACAGGAATCTAAAATATCTAGGTTACTTTTCAGGAAGTGTTTAGAAAGGCTGCACAAGTCACAAGCAGTGAGGTATGTATTGGGTTAAATAAACAAATCAATTTAACTCCCAAGTGGCAGCTAATTGAGCAGTAAGGCTGCAGGGACAAAACGGCTTTGCTAAAGTTGTTTTAGTGCCTATAGTGTCCCTTTAAACTAGCAAGATATCTTATGTATTCTGTGACCCAGAATGTGGCTGCACAATAGTATTCACATCTTGTCTGACTTTCTATACAAACTTCATTGCTATGTATACTGTCATGCATTCATATTGAATGCCTCTGAGTGGATGGAGCAAATCACATATTTAAATTCACATTTCTTGGAAAACTGTTGGACCTTGAGGTTGTATCTTCAACTGCTTCAAGCACCCTGATATCTGAGCATAAGACCAGAAAAATGACTGTAAAAGGAAACATGCCCATTCCAAATGTACCCTGGTACAGGGTTATGAAAGTCATGAGAGACTGTAGTTGCCTGGTCTACAGTGTAGGTGCAACACTTCTGTCCTGTATGGCCTCATCTAAGATTTCTTTTATGGTCAAATTATTACATCTCTAGCAAAGTCATATTAAAGGACCACTATAGACACCCACACCACTTCAGCTTAATGAAGTGGTCTGGGTGCCAGGTCCAGCTAGGGTTAACCCTTTTCTTTATAAACATAGCAGTTTCAGAAAATGGGTTAATCCAGCCTCTAGTGGCTGTCTCATTGACAGCAGCTAGAGGGCTTCCGCGTTTCTCACTGTGAAAATCACAGTGAGAAGACGCCAGCATCCATAGGAAAGCATTGAGAATGCTTTCCTATGGACTGGCTGAATGCGCGCGCAGCTCCTGCCGCACATGCGCATTCAGCCGAAGAGGAGGAGAGGAGGCCGAGAGGAGGAGGAGAGCTCCCCGCCCGGCGCTGGAGAAAGAGGTAAGTTTAACCCCTTCCTCTCCATCCAGCCCGGCGGGAGGGGGTCCCTGAAGGTGGGGGCACCCTCAGGGCACAATAGTGCCAGGAAAACAAGTATGTTTTCCTGGCACTATAGTGGTCCTTTATGTTTGCCCAGGCAGGTAGCCAGATTGGGGCACTCTCCTAGATTCCTGGGGTTTGTTTCAATGAATGATGTTTGTGTTGAGTGTAGTGTATATGAGAGAGTATGGAGGAATATGAGAGCTGTATGGGGGGGTCAACTGAGTATGTCTGTGTGTGCAGGATGAGAGTTATTTGTGTGTTGGCTGACGAGTGGGGTGTGTGTGTAGAGAAGTCTGAGTGTTGTGGGTGCCATTACCTGTTGGCCATGTTGAGTCATCACGAAGGGCACCCTTAAAGTGGTCTGTACCCGATATTGGGAAAGACCACAACTCTGCCTTGGTGTAATGGGGAAGCACAGGACCATGCAGGGATATCTTTTGATCTCTCTGCCAACTCAAGGAGGGCCAGATCAGAGTAAGAGCTTCAGGCCCAGACAGGGGCAAATCGTACCTTGGCACTCAATTGCCCAATATTTTTAATGACAAGTAAAACAAAAAACTGGCAAATTTTGTGGACTTTTGATGACATCACAGGTTGAATGTTGCCAATTGGTAACAGTATGTCATTAACTCATTATTTTCCATATGTACACTACAGGAAGTAATAAAAACTGAAGTTTCAAGTATTGTGCACATATGCATTTGTGCTATATTATAGTTACAGTGTTTATTAGTAATTTAATAGGTCTAATAGATTTACAGGACAGTTAACATTGCACATCAAGTCAGGAGAGACGTTTTCATTTGTCTCATGAGCAAATACAGTTGAGTATTGTCTGACTTGAGAGTGTAATTATCTCCACGGAATGATGGAGCCTTCTTCTGATCTAAGCAGCATGAGCTATTTTTATTTTTATTCTCATGAATGAGATATGTATTTGCATTAGTTCGTGCTGCTGATTTGACACTGGTAGATTTACTAAGTTAATCTGCTCCAATTCTTTGCAAAACATCTCTGCTGCTTTGGTATTGAATATTTAATAATGTAGGCTTGTGTTTGAGGTAGAGTTGCTCTAAACATAAATTCAACAATGTAATTTTCTGCTCATCCCAGGATTATATTTATGCAGCTGCTGCAGTTGTTTTGGGGAACATAATGAAATAGCCAGTGTTTGACGTTGTCTTTGCAGAGGTGCACCTACATAGTGTCAGAGTCAATTTGGATGATGAAAAGAGGTGGAAGACACTGGCTTCTATATTAGGGCACTGTCCTGAGGCAAGGTCCTATGTGGTCTGCACAGAAGGCAGGACTGTTGCCCGCCGCAATAGAAGGCATCTTCAGCCAGTCCCATAGCTGCTGAGAATTTAGGACCACAGCTGGTGGAATCCCTGGTCATGAGAAGTGTACCTCCCTCTAGACAAGATTCCGGTGTGGATACAGAGCTGCCTCCAGTGGAGTCCCAATCTCAATAAAAAAATAGGCAGAATAATCCCATAGCCACTATGGACTAGGGTTGTCTACCACAATGTCCAAGATAGTATAGTTATTATAGTATAGTTATTTTCTTCTTCTGTTTATTTGTTTAATAAAAAAAATATATATATTGTTTTTAAAAAGGGGAGATGGGAGGCGGAGCCTAACCTTCAATGGAGTAAGACGCACGGGCCTGCAGCTCTCCCGCCCGGCCGAAATACCCGCGCACATCAGCCGGCTACCAGGTGCATCTCGCCCCCAAAAACCTCCCACGGGCCCCCAAAGACCCCACACACCTCTTACAGATGGGGGGGAACAAAAAACGCAAGGAATCCACGCCGTCGGTGGCGACGATGTTTCGCGCCAAAGAAGACGGGCGGCCATCTTTGGCACACAGCCAGGCAGACTCCGGTTCAGATTCAGAGGGGAGCGAAGCAGAAAAAACCCCGGCCACCCCCCTCACCAAAGAGGACCTCCGGGCCATGCTCAGGGAGACATCGGCAGACATTAAAGCCTACACCGCAGCAGCCCTGGAGAAACAAATCACAGGCCTCAAGAAAGAGCTGGATACTGACCTCACGCACTGACCAGAATGAACGCCTGATAAAGGACACCCAAACAAAAACCACAGCCCTCGAAAAGGACACAGAGCTCCTGCAAGACAGAATGCTCTACCTTGAAGACGGACTGGAGGACCTCAATAACAGATCCCGCAGACAAAACATACGCATCAGGGGCATACCCGAAACAGTCCTTCCAGACGCCATTCTCCCCACAATCAAAGCAATCTTCCAGTCCCTCCTCCCTAACGCCTCAGACCAAGAATTATACATAGAAAGGGCACACAGAGCCCTGCGTCCCCCAACCTACAACCCCAACACGCCACGGGATATCATAAACGAAACTCCTATACTTTCCAGTCAAAGAACAGCTTATGAAAGCGGCAAGATCCCACCAGCCTACCTACCAAGACCAACAAATACACTTCTATCAGGACTTAGCACCGACCACACTGAAGAAACGCCGGGAGCTCAAGCCCCTTACCACAGCCTTGATCGAATCCGGATGGCGCTACATGTGGGGACACCCCTTCAAACTGTCGGTGAAAAAGGGGGAACAATCATTCACCCTCCATCAGGTAGCAGATATGCAAGACTTTGCCGACCATCTTGGGATAACCTTACGCTACCCAGCACAAGACCCCAACCAAGCCACGAAAGAGACTGCGAGCCGCAGAGGAGGGCCCCGTACGCTCCCAACACGCCCGCAACCCAAGCGAGGGTCTCCGCCAACGCAACCAGAGCAAGACGACATGAACACCTGATAGGCTCAAAAGACGGCAACTGGCACCAACCCCATACCGGGAACCTGAAACCAACCCAGGGCCGCAAACCACGGACTCTAAAAGACTGGTAGTATGCATACCACAATGTTACCTCAATGTTATCTCAATGCTGTATATAGTTAAAATACACCCGTTATACTTGAATGTTTATCTGAGCGTACTGCCGGGCCTAGGACCCGATACACCCCCAAGGCAAAATACCCGTAAGCCATAGACAGTGCCCATAGGACGCAACAACCGCACGCAGGGGTTAACTAGCAGACCCCGCCGCACAATCCTGAGATAGGATACTGCAGGTTAGCTACGGCAGCACAGGCGACCCCACTGGAAGGTACGATCAAGGCCCTCCGGGGCAACATACGACCCCCCCAGATAGTTAAAAACAAATCTTCCACTGCAAACCAACAGGTACTCAACAACCAAGCCTGAATTATCATGCTAACATATACTACGTAACGAAGCACAAAATGCCCCCGAGTAGACAGGGCACTCAGGGACTTCACACCACCTCAGAGTGGTGGACAGCACCCCCTCAGCCACACGGCTAAACCACCCACGACATCTCCCACTAGAGGCCATGGGCCGCCTAGCAGTATACATGTCTCACAGGCACACCAAAGCTATACATAGTTCAGTTTCACCTGTTACGCTAACATATTACCCTGTGCGCACAGCTAGACCCAGTCCCCAACCTAATCTCAGGGCCACAACCTGCAAACTGTCACAGGAGACCCTAAGCTACTACACCTAGACCTAAGGGACTAAATGCAGATCCCGCTACTAGCTACAAGCACCGCTGGGTTAGATAAAGGATGCCGCACAATAGATATGTCGGCGCATGGGTCCAGGTTGAAAGGCATGTCCAAGGCATACCAGGGCAGCATGTGACTTTGATAGTAACAAGAAAAGCTGCCGCAATGCTACTTATTATGTAACCCACGCTCAAGACTTAACTAACCATTACTATGTATTATAAAATGTTACTGTGCATGTATGTCAAACACAGGTACCATACCACACACGGCTCCTCAGAGCGGTCCAAAAACACCCCCTCCACAGACCAACAACAAGCACCAACCAACAGTAATGAGGGAAGCGGACGATCCTACAGCTACCGGACAGACCCTGGCCAGCCCCCTCCGTACAAAAGTTGACCTACACAAAGGACCGGCGATCCATGACAACACATAAGAATCCCCAGACCTGCGAAACCGACTCACCAGGTACGCACACAACGACACCATGGGACAGTCACACACTCACCCCCACTAAAGCTGCAGCACATCCACGTACTCACAAAGCAACCCAAACGCACAACATGACCAACCCCACCCACACATCACACCCCACCGAGATGCACCCACGCAGACACCCCGGGGCGGGGAGCGAAGGGCACGCTTACAGTCCATTCTCCCCCCCACAAACACACAAACCAACTCAACCAATCTCACCTCAACCATACAGTGAGAACTAGAGGAGACCAACACCCCTTACAACAGACAGACACACGCACACCCTCCCGCTCGCCCATCTCCTGGCGACAGACTAGTAAGACCAGGATCTAAACCATCTACCCCTTCCCCAACACCCCCCCACCCACAGCCCTACATCCTACATAGCCACCTCCCCCCCCATCTTCCACCCCCCTCCCCAAGGTACATCAAACATACAGACTCAGAACCAAACCCACTACAACAAGAAGGCACACACCAGTAGAACAACACCGCACTCACCAGCATGCCGGCCACCCTGACCTGCCTATCAATAAACTGCAAGGGCCTAAACAACCCCACGAAACGGCACCAAGTAATGCGCTGGGCAAACAGATCTAAGGCGGACATACTACTCTTGCAGGAAACTCATTACACCCGGACCAAGCAGTTCCCTCTCCTAAGCCGACACTACCGAACTAACCACTTCGCCAGCTCCCCCCACGACAAACACAATGGAGTAGCCATCATCATTCGGAAATCATGCCCTCTCTCGATCCAACGAACTATAGCCGACCCACAAGGCCGATACCTCACTGTAGCAGGCAAAATAGGCACGCACCTCTACGCATTCACGTCAATATATGCTCCGAACACCCCCTCCAAAGCATTCTGGCACACGATACAAGCCCACCTAGCCCTCTTCCCCTCCCACCATTCCATACTGGGCGGAGATTTCAACGCCACACCCTCGCCAATGGTAGACAGGCGCCGCACACAAGCACGAACGCACCACCAACAACCAACAGCCAAAGCAGACAAAATGCTCTCTGCCTTCATCTCAAAAACCCGCTTGATCAATGCATGGAGAGCCCATCACCCCTCATCCCTAGACTACACGTTCTTCTCGCACCCTCACCAATCCCACTCCCGCATAGACCTGTTCCTCATTTCCCCGGCACTGGCACCCATGGTAAACAACACGAACATAGGCTCCATCACGTGGTCCGACCACGCAGACATTACCCTGACACTTAACCTACCATGCACGACAAGACCCTGGTCTTGGCGACTAAACCCCACATTTCTACACAACCCAACAATCCGACAAAATGTGGCCCAAGCTATTACAGAATACTTCACACTAAATAAGGACTCAGCAACTTCCGATGGGTCTCTATGGGCAGCACACAAAGCAGTAATCCGGGGAGTCATGATAAATCAAGCGACCATACACAAAAGAAAACAGGTAGCCCACCTAGAACAGACACTAATGACCCTCAGGACCCTAGAGGCCCAGCATAAACTTAACCCAATGCCAGAAACAAACGGAAAAATTGCAGACTGCCAAACAAAAATTTAAAAATACATGGCGAAAGATTCAACCAAAGCATTACTGTGGTCAAAACAACTATTTTATGACAAAGCAAACAAAGCAGACACACTACTTGCAAGGAAACTCAAGCAGAGAACAGAACGTAAACAGATCACCAAAATTAACACACCAGAAGGGACTCTCACAGAAAAACCGAGCGAGATAGCCGGCGTCTTTCAAAAATACTTTGAAGCCCTGTACGACCACTCACCTACAACCCGACAAAACCCAACACACACCAACACACTTATTAACCAATACCTACAACAGGTACCACTACCTTCCCTCCCAACAGAAGCAGAGGTAGCACTAGCCAGCCCCATCACGCCAGAAGAACTCGCAGGAGCGATCAAAACACTGAAACCCAATAAAAGCCCGGGCCCGGATGGGTTCACAGGACGCTATTACAAAACTTACGCATCCACCCTGATCCCCCACCTCTGCAACCTCTACAACGCGATCCTGGCAGGCGACCGACTACCACCAGACATGCTACAGGCCAATGTATGCCTCCTCCCCAAACCCAACAAAACCCTCCTAGACCCAGGACACTACCGACCAATCTCACTCCTCAACGTCGACATTAAACTACTCACCAAACTCCTAGCAGACCGCCTCAACCCATATCTCACCCGGCTAATCCACCCAGACCAGGTGGGCTTCATACCCACGAGACAGGCTAGCGACAACACTAGACGGACATACGACCTCATCTGGACAGCTCACACAAGACACATCCCGACCTTAATACTTTCGCTTGACGCAGAAAAAGCCTTCGACAGACTACTTTGGCCCTTCCTATTCGCGACCCTCGAAAAACTCAGATTCCCACAAGAATTCAGGAACGCGCTGACAGTACTATACGCCACACCTCAAGCACACCTACTTCTCCCGCATACACAACCCCCCTCCTTCACGATTTACAACGGCACACGTCAGGGATGCCCACTATCCCCAGTCCTATTTGCACTCTCCCTTGAACCGCTCCTACAGAACCTCAGGCTCAACACCGACATAACCGGCCTCAGAATACGAGAGGAAGAATATAAAACGGTAGCATATGCAGACGACCTACTCATCACAATCACGGAACCCATAACCTCCTTACCACCACTTCTGCACGCCCTAGAAGCATATGCGGCGGTATCAGGGTACAAACTAAACATAGATAAAACAGAAGCCCTCTCAATACACATAGACCCCTCCACAACAGCAGCCATCCAAGAAAAATACCCCTTCAGATTAAACCCCACCCACATACAATACCTTGGGATCGCTATCCCGGCAGACCTACCCCAATGCTATGCTCTGAACTATACACCCACGATACAGAAAATAACCCACGACATCTCTACCTGGCAAAACATGCCGATCTCGTGGTTGGGCAGACTAGCGTCAGTCAAGATGAACGTGCTCCCTAGGCTTCTATACCTATCCCAAACCCTACCGATCCCAATCCGGAGCAGCGACTTCAAAACATTACAAACAACCATCGACAAATTTATATGGGCCAACAGACGCGCCAGAATAAAACGCCAAACCCTATATGTACCTAATAGAGCCGGGGGCTTGGGCTTACCCCACCTTACACATTACTACCAAGCAGCCCAACTAACGCAGGCCCAAAACTGGCACGCCCCATACGGAGTTAAACGTTGGGTAGATCTTGAACACGACATCTTCGGCAGAGACTTCCCCTCACTATACATCTGGCTACAGAAATCAGCGAGGCCCCCGCGGCCCCGCACATCACCGGCAATACTCAACACCATAAACATATGGGACAAAACAACTCAAAAGAGCGGCCTTACAACCCAACACTCACCATTAACCCCGCTACTTCGCAACACCCACTTCCCACCGGGCATGACACCCAAAGACTTCGCCGGCTTCGAGGCAAACGACCTCACTCGACTGTTCCACTACTACAAAAACCAACAACCAATACCTTTCCCAGAGCTCCCACATACAACGCCATACCGCACATTCGACATGTTCCGCCACATCCAAATCAAAAGCTTCCTAGACATGCCAATAACCAAACAAGCAGGAACTAAAGAGCTCACATCCTTCGAAAAACAATGCATGCAATCCCCGACACAAAAAGGCCAAATATCCGCACTCTACACACACCTAATCCAAAATGTCAAAGACGGGGCCCTTACATATGTGTCGGCTTGGGAGAGGGATCTAGGCCCAGCAGAAGACCCGACAGATTGGGCCAAGATCTGGGAGGCCACAGCATCTATATCAATCTGCGTCAACC